GAGAGAGAGAGAGAGAGAGAGAGAGAGAGAGAGAGAGAGAGAGAGCGCTTGTGTCAAAATGATGCTTTGTTGAAAATTACTTTTGAATAATCTCAAGGAGTTTTCTTCTTTTGTGGCACACATGATTTAAGTAGTTCATTATATAGCCTCATTTGTTGATCAAAATATTGTAGCAACCATCAACATTTATTAAAGTAGAACCACAATAATGGGCATATATCCTTGATGGAAATCAATATTTGCATTTTCAACAACTTGAGTAAAAACTCTGTCAGGTGCTTAGTTAGCTGCTTGAGTAGACAAAGAGTAATGTATTAACCCTAACTTGTGGATAAGTCACTCATGCATATATCTATCATTTGTGGTACCTTGGCAAAAGAGAGAGAAGCAAGCAGTCTGGTTTCTAAAACTTTCCTACATTGTTGCCTGGAGATGATCTTTACTTGCCATAAGCAACCAGATGGGTTCTAAAGTTGGTAACCAAAGTTCTGAGGCAAAAAGATAACTGATAATCAACTATCTTAATGGTGTGCTGTTGCCACAACATGCTGTTCTTTTGTAATATGTTGTGCCAGAAACAGAAGGAATGCATCAAGTGTTGCTTAATTGATGCTTGGCAGAAGATTCAGTATCAGCTGTTGAATTAACCCATTCTAGTTTGTGGAATATTTTTCTAGGACTAGTCTACCAGATATTTTATAATCTTTACAGCACTTATGTGAATTCTCCATACAGTGATAACATCCTTCTTGAGCTGTAGCACCCATAAGTGAATTGTTTATTATGTATTCATTATGTGTTGTATTATTCTCCATCAGGTCTTGAAAACTTGAATTGTCTGGATGATGTTCCATTTAGCATAGTAAATGCCAATCTCTGGCATTATAATATTACATTGATTTTTCATGTGCTGTTTACTGTCTGTCTGAGAAGTCACCTTAGAGATGTGCTCCTTGTGCCTCATTTAGGCTACCTTTTCTCCTTTTACTTTTGATTTACTATTTTTATGTATCACTTGCCATCTTTGTTTGTTAAAAATCTTAATCAGTTAATTATTTTGATTGTTTGACTTATTCTTTATAGTATTTGGTTTTGCAACTTACTTGCTTTGCTCAGTTTTGCATAATATTTTGTTGTTTTTGTTTCTTTATTTGCTAAGTACTGAAATGCTGACCTGTGCAGAATGTCTCTGTGTATCACTATGTTATACTGGTTTCTTCTGGTCAACTTTCTGAAACTTATCTTTGGAGAAATGGTTCAAATGAGCCCAATTACCATTTTCAGTGTCTGTGAAAGACTGTTGCATCTTACCCATCAGAAAAGGAATTTTGGTGAAGAATTTTTTAATGTACAACTTTGTATCTCTTTCCTTATGTCGCTTGTTCGTCTTTGAAAAGACTGAAGCTGCATTAATTCCTTTCACATACTGACATACTGAGCTGCTTATTTTAAATATTTATAACTTAGGATCAGTTAAGATCATAAACTTTTAAAGACATTGAAGTAAAGATTGAAATGTGATATAGATTATTACTTTAGGATTTTCCAAGTTAATTTCAAACATGTCTTTTAGAATCTCAAGTTTTTGTCTTTAAAAATGTTAGACAAATGGAAACATAATTGTCATTATAAATGTATGGTAATGAATAAGGTAAGTGCTGATATATATTTTCTTGCTACAGAGTTATGTATAGCTACCTTGATGAAATTGGAATCCTTTCTCATCTCCTCTGGGTTATATAGAGGGCACTGTATATTAGAGAGAGGCTTCTAAGAAGTGGAGTTAAGGCTATACTTATAGTGCACTGCCTATAATCTTGTACAATACTATAGGTAAAGTCGTGGTTGCCCCATCTGAGCTTCCCTGTTTATAAATCTTAGGATCCTTTGCTTAGAATCCATTATTTGCAAGAGCTAAATGAAAAGAAAAAAATACTTCACCACTTGCACATTAGGGTGACTTTATCTCAAGCTTATTAACATTCATTCTTCTATGTTAATGATTAAACAACACAACATAGTGATAAAAGAACACAAATTTTCTACATTTCATGATTTTTAAACATAATAATATTTTGTTTCTTTATTTTTTTCAGGTAATTCATGGCAGGGGACGTGGAAGGGTTTAGTTCCTCTATTCATGACACCAGCGTTTCTGCTGGGTTCAGAACACTGTATGAAGAGGGATTACTTCTTGATGTCACTCTTGTTATTGAAGATCACCAATTTCAGGCTCATAAAGCATTGCTTGCCACCCAAAGTGATTACTTCAGGATTATGTTCACTGCTGATATGAGGGAGCGAGATCAAAATAAAATCCACTTGAAAGGTCTAACTGCCACAGGCTTCAGTCATGTTCTCCAATTCATGTACTATGGAACCATTGAACTAAGTATGACCACTGTTCATGAGATCCTCCAGGCTGCCATGTACGTCCAGCTTATTGAGGTGGTTAAGTTCTGCTGCTCCTTTCTCTTAGCAAAAATCTGCTTGGAAAACTGTGCAGAAATTATGAGACTATTAGATGACTTTGGTGTGAACATCGAGGGAGTCAGAGAAAAGCTGGATTCCTTTTTGTTAGAAAACTTTGTGCCTCTCATGGCCAGACCTGACTTCTTGTCCTATCTGAGTTTTGAAAAGCTTATGACTTACTTGGACAATGATCATCTGAGCAGGTTCCCAGAGATAGAGCTCTACGAGGCTGTTCAGGCTTGGCTGCGGCATGATAGAAGACGCTGGAGACATACCGACACCATCATTCAGAACATCAGGTTTTGTTTGATGACACCATCCAGTGTTTTTGAAAAGGTTGGTGCATTTGAAAGCAATAGATAGAATTCATCAGTGCATTTAGGGCAGCATGCTGTTCATAAGTAAAATTCCCAGTATTAGGAGGAGGGAATAAATAAGACACTGTTTTAGAAAATGGAACATTGAAGTCATCATTGTCTGAAACAAGTGCCATCTAGGTTTTAAAACAAACACCCCATTTGCAAACTAGCAGGATTTACAGCCAGGAAACAGGTAGGTTTGCAGCTTTTTCTGATTCTCAGTGATAGGGTTATCCTCATAAGCAAGTACAGAACAGGTAATTGATAAGGCTGCATTTATTGTAATCTATGATTTTAAATGATTTGTGCAGCTTCACTTGGAGAGGTAATACAGCCTAGTTGTGCAAATATTTTTAAAGAAAACCATATATCTTAAAGGCTTTTAAATTACTAATGTAAAATGGAAAATCATAAATGCAGATGTACTGGAAAACAATTAAGCATTGACTTGAGATGTTTCATCTTGTCCTTGCTCTCTTGATGCCAACAGAATCAATGTAGGACTTCCAAGTATAATTTCTAACTACCTGAAACTTAGGTATGAAGTTCAAAGTAGGGAAATTCTTTACTCAGCAGTGAATTTCTATTCTTGAGTGAAGGAGGCCAGCTAGAAGACCCTACCTCTGGAGTCAGGAAGGCAGCCTTCAGTCTGATTACCCAGTGGAACTGGGGCATCCTCCAGAAACTCCAGGTTGAATCTTCCAATGAGCCTATACATGTCAGGAGCCACTGGATTGCACCTCTTGGGCTCTTCATGTCACACTTAGGTTGTGAAGCAAGGGAAGAATCTACTTATGCCATCTGAAACCTGGAAAGAAGCTGTCCCAAGGATGGGCCTAGCTGGCTTCCAGGTGAGAGAACAGAAATTTCCTCATGAATACAGAATTTATGTTTCTCCCCTTGAGTGCAAGAGGCCAGATAATGCTGGGAATGTTGTTGTTGTTCAGCCGTTCAGTCATGTCCGACTATGTGATCCTATGGGCCAGATCTCACCACACTTTCCGATCCAATGCCACCTCTTTCAGCTGAACTATGCTCTGGTCCATATCCTCTTCAGTGGAGTCTAACTACTTTGCTCTTTGGAGACCTGGTTTTCTCTTGCCTCTGAGTATTCCAAGCTGGGAATATTACTGACAGTAAAAACCATTATGGGCATAATTGTTGGGAATATGAAAATGCAGTGCATCCCTGGGTGGGCCAACAGACCTCTCAACTGGCTTCCTGCTAGATTGGAAGAATTCTTTGAAGAATGCACTTCTCTGAAGGTGCCCTTCACAGAGGCCATTTGATCAATTTCATAGTGTCTGGTGAATGTGTGAACTGACAACCAAGTGGTCACCCTGCAGATATTTTCTAGAGGGGCCTGCCCCAGGATGCCACTGAGATGGTCCTTCTTACTGAGTTGACCAAGATGCCTTAAAATACTGCCAGATTGCTGGCAGTATAAGCAAGCAATCATAGAGTCAGTGAGCAAGAGAGGCTAGAGAAACATTGCCTGGGGTGGGATGGTTTGAAGGTGACAAACAGAAAATGATGTTGCTTGTAGAGCTGTTTTTGTCTAGAGAGAATTTGCCTACCTGCCTAGCATCTTAGGTGTTCCATTCTCTTTCCTGAGGGGTGGATGGCTGTGGACAGAAGAAGGAAATTGTTAATTTTTGTGCCCTGTGAATGACCTGGTTAATCTTGGGGTGAAGTATGTCTTCTCTGTGGAAGACACAAAGGCCCCTTTTCTGAGGATAGGTCCCTTATCTCTGGTACCCTCTTTGCTGATGTGCTGGCTACTAGGAAGATGTTTTTGAAGGTAAGGACCTTAAAGATTGCTGCTTCCAGTTGCTTGAAGGACCTTTTGTGCCTTCACCACTGTATTCAGCTGCCAAGTTAGGAAACTGGGGAGGGCTATTTATCAGTTTCACTGAGGAATCTTTTAACATGAGCATGAATCCTGTAGGACAGTGGTTCCTAAACTGTGTTCTGCAAAAAACCTTGTAGGGATTCTACAAAAAATCTCAAAAATGAAATTTAAAAGGGATTTTAAAATGAAACCACACAAGGCCAACTATTCAATGGTCAGTTGGACAAGCAGCAAACAAAGAAATGCATCATGTCATTTGGATCCTAGAACTCTATTCCATAGTGTTGGGAATAATTGAGAAATACTCACATTCCTTGAGAAAGGAATTACTTCATTATATTTAAAATGTTTTTATTTACAAACCTACTATATTATGCAAAGCACTCAGACAATAGGAGCAGATGAAATAAGAAAGAATGTTGGGGGTTCACAATGTAAAAATCAGGTATAGAGTTAGGGTTATGTGGGAAAAAAATGTCTTCAGAAAGGTTCTATGATCAAAAAAGTTTGGGAACCTCTGCTCTAGGGGGCCTTCTCCAAGTCTGAGGATGGATCTGAGGGCAAAGGTCTACCCCAACAGGGTGTTAATCTTAAGGCCCATGAATAGACCTATAGGAATTACAGAATATCTGCTATTACAGAATTTCAGCTGTTTATTCCCTGAGACCAACAGAAGAATGCCCTCCATGTGCATTTATAGGTCCTGCTTGTGGATGCCATTCTGGGTGCTAGAAAGGTACTGACCACCTTAGGTAAGCAGCAGTGCCTGCAATGGTTGAACCTTCAGTTGGTTAGCTTTAGGAAACCTAGGTGTTCTGGCCCAACTTTGGGCTGCAGGTTTGAGTGACCCCAAGAAAATGGTAAGCTAGGTCCAGATTTACTTATAAGAAAGCTTATTGAAAAGACAAGCAAATTACTCTGAAAAGCTAGGGTTACAAAGGGTTTAACAAGCAAGGCACTTAAAATGCTCAGCATGAACCTGCCTGTTAAGAGGCGCCAATCAGCTGAAATGGATGGTAAGTGAAGCCCCTTGAGGATGTCTGGTGTCCAAACAACAACTCCCAAAGGGAAATGGCTAACCTTTATAGACTACTTGAGGGGAAAGGACTGGCTGTTACACAGGGGCAGGGACTAAACGGTGTGCACTACTTGTTTACCTCATCAGCAAGCCCAAATGTATACTATATGTAGTGTTCCATCATTGTACTTTATGGGGCATGAAATTTTCCATCCTCATTAGCCAGGCACAACACCTGAAGCTTTCCAGCAATGTCAGTCAGGATTCTTATAACATACCATAGCATTAGCCAATTAGTTAAGCATCGTACAAGGTACGAGCTCATTAAGTGAAGCATAACATCAAGCAGGAGCTCCTAACTGGTCTGATAAGGTGGGGTACCAGGCTGAACATGCTGTGTGCTTAGTCCTTTGGCAATTTTCCCAGAATCTTTGGCAAGCAACACCTATGAGGTAACTCTAGGTAACTCTAGGGCAGTGTTTTACTGCAAGGCCTGATACTTTACACGTTCTGTTTTTTACAGCTTAGACTCAAAAACACTGGGTCTTGGTGCATTATCAGGCTTTGTCTCAAGAGTTCATGCCAGGCCAGGAATGCATCTGGCCTAGATGTTAAGAGGGTGTTGACATGTGGTCTGAGCTTAGAGGTAACCAAGAGGTTTTGGTTTTGGTAAGCTTTTTTCTCTCTTCTGTGGAGTAAAGGAAATGGTGGCTAAAAATGTAATTGTACCTATAGCCAAAACAAAGCTTGCTGCTGGGTAAACTGATTAGGGAAGGCTGTGTTGATCTCCCATGGGATCTGCTTCTATAAGACATGGTCATTTCCTGGGCTTGAATTGACTGGAGGTGAGATCCTCCTTTGAGTGTGCCAAGCAGCCTTCAGCGTGTGTGTTTGTGTGGTGACAGGCAGCCTGCCAGCAGGTCAGTCACTGAACAGCAATTAGGCACTTTGGTTCACTCAGCATCCCAGCAAATCTCTGAAGCACTGGTGGGAGCCTTGCAGTCCAAGTGCTTCCTTGTGGTTTGCATGGCATGGACAGGAAGCACAAGCAGGGCATACTTTTTGATTTTGCAGGCCTGTACACAAACTTGCGAGCTTGATGGAGTGGCCACCTCCTCCCACTTCTGCCTTTCATTTTATTGTTTTTGCGTCTTGGTATGTGAAGAACTGCCTCCCACCTGAGGCAGGAAGAAAAATTGGAGCTTCTAGGGGAAACCCCACCTCCATTCAGAAGCTTGGACTGAAGACATTTCCTGGCCATGGAGGTGGGGTTTTCCCCAAAACTAGCTGGCCTTCTGATCTTGAAGGTAGTAATAATGTGCTTTGAAATAGAAGTGAGCTTTAATAGGGCTCTTGATTCCCCTGCTTCCTAGCTATTCATGCTAACATATGGGGACTTTGTTACCAAGCTGCATCATTTATGATCTGTTCTTTTCCTGGGAGGAGAAGACAGAAAGTGGAAAGAGATGACTGAATTCTGATCATGATGGGGTTTTTCCCTCTCCTGCTCTTTCAGGGATAAATAGTATTAGTAGTAGTAGGGTGCATTCTCAGTCTCTTTGCGAAGGAAAAGTGTCGTTCCTCTTCAAGCTTCAGCCTTCTCCAATGCCAAAGAAGTGGGCAATGGCAGTAGTTGTGCACTTGATTGATATTGATACTTTTTGCAGGATTGGTTTCCCAAAGAGAGTACATGGGTCTTTGAAGGAGCCGGTTGTTAGTAGAACAGAGTATGGATTAATCAGGAACCGAGCTTGTAGTGCAAGAAGGCTATCCAAGCAGAGGCAACTTGCTTATAGGACTAGATATGATGTTTCAAGAGTCTGGTAAACTTTGACTCTACGAAACCAATCTGAATGGAAAGAGTGGAAGCGGGAAGAATGAGGAAACAGAGAAAAGCAAAAGGTAGGAGATGGACAAGGAACAATGCAACAAAGTAATGAGATAAGTGAAAAAGGGGTACCATACTGCATGATCAGAATGAATGCAGAAAGAAAACACAATATGGGGTAAAGATGTAGTGGATTCTCTCATGCAGGAGGATGGAAAAGGAAAAGATCTGTTTTTTGCTAGTTGTATCCAAGAAGCATGTATCCTGTAAGGTAAGTAGTAACTTGTGTGGCTAGAGTGCCTGCCTTTTCTCCCACCCTAACCTTACTGCACAAGTGAGTATTCTTCTGTTACTTCCAATAAATGCTTTTAGGAAATGCTGTACAACCACAAAGCAAAGTTCAAGCAAAGCATAATTATGCTCTGCAAAGCTAATGCAAAGTGTGTGTGTGTGTGTGTGTGTGTGTGTGTGTGGTGGGGGGGGGGTTGCTACTCTTTTTTCCATGTTGAAAATGGGAGAAAACCTTGCTTGAAATGGTCTCTTGATGACTAGAGCTAAATAAGGGTCTACTAAATATTAGAGAGTTATTTTTTATTTTGTTTTATGACAAAGCAAATATCTTCTCAATTATATTTTTCTTTGGCTATACCTTTGTTATTTTGTATACTGAGCATTCATTAACAGATTTTAAGCATAAAGCTTCAGTACCTTTGTGTAATCAAATGTAATTCTGCATTTGCTATTCATCTGCCATTAGTACATAACTACAATTAGGAAAATAGGTTATGTACAATTTTGTAACAGTGCCATGTCAAGTAAAGCTGTCACACCCATTCATCATTTTTCCTTCTTAGTATCTATATAATAAGACTACAATAACTGTTTAAGAGTAATAATACATGCTTTGATCAATATACATTTTGATGAAGGTATATATTGGAAGAACTTTCACTGATACTAAAATTAGATTTTCAAGGCAAAACAAATCCATATTACTACATTTGTATTTTCATTCTAAGCTACTTGAAAGAAGATCAGTTTCTTACGTTGAGACTAATAAATGAGCTATTGGAATGAAATAACTGAAGCGTTAAAAGACCAGCTAAATAACCAAGAGCAACATATATTTTCTAACTCTTAATCACACACTTTTGAAATTTATTAAATAAATGTGTTGTATTCTGGCTGTTGTGTACTGTAGTCATTGGTTGCAACAAATTAATTTGATGTCTGCTCAAAACTTCCTTTTGCTTTTCATACATGATATTTTGCTGTTTTGTGGCCTCACTCTTTTTGTGTTAGATATGAACATATTTGTATTTCTCATCATTGTTTTCTTTTTCCTATTTTATTATTTCTTTGTCTAGTTTTGCGTGTGTATGCAAAATAAAAGCTGTGTTAGGGTGCAGTTATCTGCATGTTTATATAGAAGAAAACATAGCTGTCTGGGGAATACTGGGATTTGTAGGACTTTCTCTCTCAACATGTGTCTCTTAATGAAGTTCACATACAGAATCATTTTTTGGGCCTATTGTGTCTCTGAAAAGAAGAGTGGGAGTCTTCTTTTCCCAGAGGCCAGCTTGGCAACCTTTGCATTAAAATGTTTCTCACCTTCTTACTTCTATGCCACTCCTCATCGCATGTGTGAGTATGTTTGGTTCTGAGATCTCTTCTGTGAATGTAGAGCAGTTTGAGGGTGGGGCAAGATCAACATTCCCCAACCTCCTGCCCTCCAGATTTTTGAACTACAGCTCCCAGCATTCCAAACTATTGACTGTTCAGACAGATGTTGCTGAGAGTTGTATTCTAAAACAGCTGGAGGGTACCATTTGGGAAATGCTAAAGCCAAAAGCTGCTAGAAATTGGAATTCAGTGTGATACTAGTGGGATTCTTGGTGAGTAATGGCTTGGAAGTAAAATGGTTCTAAAAATACTCTCAAACTGGTCCTGAGCTCTTCCCTTTTTCTGATGGGAAGGAACATTTTCCCTCTTTCTGAAGGCTGGTACAGACAAAGAGAAGATTCTGTATATATGACTAAGCAAATCTACAGTGAGATGCTAATATGAACTGAGCATTGGTTTATTTCTCTGTTCAGATGCCATCTTCTACATGCAGGATAGGCAGTCTGATCAAGCAAGAGCAATTATATATATAGAAAACTTCTTACACTAATCACTTTTCAGACCATGTTTCACATGGACAGTTAGATGTTTCCTGTATTAACAGAGTTCATCCATAATCCCAAACTCTAAATTATTCAAACTGGATTCGGTGTGTATTCCATAACATGTGGTTGGCATAATCAGGTTTGACAGGGTTATTTTGGGGGTAGGTGATTGGATTTTCCCAAAACAGATAACTGGTGTTTCCAAAACTAACTGTAGTTCATTGCCTAAATCTCTAAATCATTCTTAAGAATGTTTTGTGAGCTCATGTATTCCTCCCCTTCCTTTTTGTTTGATACGTCTGATGAGCTGCATGGTAGATATATTGTTGGTATCAGGTTTTTTTTTGGGTTTTTTTTTGGTTAATCATAGTGGTCTTTATTGACTCTTATATTTAGTTAAAAATGTTAAATTTCTTATTGTCTCCCCGTACCTCCCTAGACAAGGTGCCTAGTCTGAAATAATCTCCAAATTTCAGCATTTTACTTTTTATATTTTTCTCCCTATAAACCAAAACATGTTCAGGGCACGAGTACTGCATAATGTCCATAGGAATAGTTGTATGGGGTATTTTTATACCTTTAGTCATGTTAAAAGAACAGTAATATTAAAGAAATGAAGATTCAGTATGGATAATCTTGGTTTCTCTTTAAAGTTATGATTATTAACTAATAGCAAAACTTTCCCTCAAAACATTTTAATTCTGTTTGCTGGAGAAAAGATTAAACCTAAAATTACCTGAATTAACTGATTGCTGAAAACTATTCTTCATTGAAACCAGGGATGAAATGGCAGCCAGAACAAAGACTTTTTAGTAATGCAGCACTTAAATCTGAGGCTCTTAAATCCGGGGTCAAAAATTATCCCCAAAGTGGGCTAATGGTGGTTTCTTCTTTAGGCAGGAGAATGAAGTGAAGGTTGATTACTCTTGTTACTGTTTCTGTTGTCCATTAAATGATAGGGAAATATGATATTTTGAGGAGCTGTATTGGCATTTGATGTTTACAGTGCCAGTAACTGACTGTCAGACTAACCTGCCTTATAGAATTGTGAGGTTAAAATGAAGAGAAGGAAAACAGAAACATAGAAACAGAGTGAGTCAGAAGGAGCTTCCCGGGCCATCCAGCCAGCTCCGCTCATGATATGCCCACCATGTGCATGTCTAGACTATCCTTGAACACCCTCACCGATGGGGCCTCAACCACCTCCCCATGATTATATAAGCTACCATGTATGTGTACATGTCAGATTTCACTGCTAAATCAGATTATTTACAGTATAATAAATCTAGAGACTCATACTAATCTTTTTCATTTTTAACAACCCACCCTGATTAAAATATTGTACATGTTTCTTTAGTCATACGTTTGTCTGGTAGTCTAAATATTTTTAGACTATAAATCCCAAATACCAAAGCAAAAAAAAAAAAAAAAAACATATACAAACACAAGATGACTTGTGGCTAAGCTGAAATATTTGGCCCAATGTGTTATAGATAAAGTCCTTATTAATACAGAATGGGTCTCTTTTTTATCCATAAAATGAAGATTCTGCTACCTAAATGCTTTGATTTAGAAATGCCCTGATGTTTAGGTGTAACTCATATACCCTATTCAATATCAGTTGATAGACCAGTAGATAAACAGAGTGGATAAATTGGTTTTCTTATTGTAAGGAACACTAGAATTGCATCCAAATTTGTGTTGACAAACCATTTACTGTACTGATAAAAGTAAAACACAAATACTGTATTCCTACGGTAGCTTTTTCTGGAGTTATGGGAAATTAGTGAAATATAGAAACTAAAGATCTCATTTTGATTCACAAATGGGAGACTATAGAATTTGTCAGTATATGAGCAGCAAAAATAGAAAGGAAGTCTAGGGTTTAGGCACTAAATTTTAAAATGTGTTCATTCTTAGAGTATGTTTTTAACACTGTACTTCTTTGTGCATGGCTGGAACACATACAGCTCTTAATCCTATGGTCAGACCAGTATGACATTGGTTGTAACAACTCTCTGGTAAGAGTGCAAGATTACAGTTTCAGGTTGCAGTGGCAAAAAATGGCAATTGGCAACCTTGTGCATATACTAGGCTCCTAAGGAATGATCCTCCACTACTGGTAGGTTCTTTGTGAGAGGATGGGATCAGGGCCATCCTATGAGAAACGCAAAAGACTTTTCTCATAGAACACTATTCTGCACCAAGACAGCTATTGGTACAATACATCATGTCTTACTCTGTGGTTTAAGAAAACTTGCCTATAGGCCTTGGAATGTAGAATTGGAAGTTTTTCTACTCTGTCAACATGGTCATCTTGCTAAAGTGCACTGGGCTCCCTGCAACATTGGAATTAGTGGCAGTCCAAAAGGTATGATGCTGTAGTTGTTGACTATGTGTATAAGTAATAAAAACCTTCTGTGACATGTGAGGTCCTACTGGCATGCTGCTAATAATTGGAACAGAAAATCAAATTTGATATTTTAAACTTTAAAGGACTTGCTTAGGAAGTGTTAGAGCGTTAGGAAATGGTTAAATTCTCCAGGAGATTATTTAAATCTTAATTAGAGTCCAAATGTGCAAAACCTGTCTTGAGCTATTTTATCCTTTCAACAAAATATGTCAAGTTAATTATTAAAGGATTCTGTGGGGCAGTCAGATGCAGTAATTGTGATTACAACTGTTAAACATGTTGAAGAAAGCAGGGAATGTAGGAAGAACATGTGGGAAAAGAAGTATGGCTTGCTCAGAAGCTTCAACAGATTCTGGACTTACAGGTCCTTAGTAGTAATTATTTGTAGTAATTAGACCATGGCTTTTTGTAAAGGTCTGAGTTAAAATTAGGCAGTGTTCTTTAAGAGAGTTTTCTCCTCCATACTGTTCTTCTTGGTCAATACACATGTATTTTGCTCTGTCCTCAGGTGAAAACATCGGAATTTTATCGTTATTCCCGGCAGTTGAGGCATGAGGTGGAGCAAGCTATGAATTACTTCCATAGTGTGCACCAGCAGCCTTTGATGGAAATGAAATCAAATCGCATTCGTTCTGCCAAACCCCAGACTGCAGTATTTAGAGGAATGATAGGACACAGCATGGTAAATAGTAAAATCCTCCTGCTGCACAAGCCAAGGGTATGGTGGGAGCTAGAAGGCCCACAAGTACCTTTACGACCAGACTGCCTTGCTATTGTTAATAACTTTGTGTTCCTATTGGGTGGGGAAGAGCTGGGGCCAGATGGTGAATTTCATGCTTCCTCCAAAGTGTTCAGATATGATCCAAGACAAAACTCTTGGCTGCGAATGTCAGACATGTCTGTACCACGTTCAGAATTTGCCGTTGGTGTTATTGGAAGGTACATTTATGCAGTGGCTGGGAGGACAAGAGATGAGACATTTTATTCAACAGAGCGATATGATATCACAGACGATAAGTGGGAGTTTGTGGATCCCTACCCAGTAAATAAGTATGGACATGAAGGAACTGTTCTTGGTAACAAATTGTACATCACTGGTGGAATAACATCCTCTTCCACATCAAAGCAGGTTTGTGTGTTTGACCCCAGTAAAGAAGGGACTGTTGAACAGCGAACAAGGAGGACTCAAGTGGTCACTAATTGTTGGGAAAACAAATGCAAAATGAATTATGCAAGATGTTTTCACAAGATGATTTCTTATAATGGCAAGCTTTATGTATTTGGAGGGGTCTGTGTAATCCTTAGGGCCTCTTTTGAGTCTCAAGGATGCCCTTCCACAGAGGTTTATGATCCAGATGCTGATCAATGGACTATTTTGGCTTCTATGCCAATTGGCAGAAGTGGCCATGGTGTAGCTGTGTTGGACAAACAGATAATGGTTCTTGGTGGCCTTTGTTATAATGGGCACTACAGTGATTCAATTCTTACTTTTGACCCTGAAGATAATAAATGGAAAGAAGATGAATACCCAAGAATGCCCTGCAAGCTAGATGGTTTACAAGTTTGTAGTCTACACTTTCCTGAGTATGTGCTAGAACACGTTAGACGTTGCAGCTAAAAAAAGATCCCAAAACTATTTATAGCATTGCAGGATGGGGAAAGGGAAAGTGGATTTAAGTTCACTAAACATATGGACCTTTGTAATACTTCTCTTAAATTAATAAAGATTAAAATGTGTACAGGGAATGCATCTATAGAGTTTATTAGGAATGCCAATAATTGTGGTTTTGTATGGATTTTATTTTTTACATGCTATTACTATATGTTTTGAGAAAAGAGAAAAGTTCTTCCATTTCACGTTTTAAATCCAGATAATAGGTTCAATTCTGTGTGAGAGAAGACAGCACATGTTTCAGGAAGCACTAGAATATACTTTGTTTGCAAGGTGGGTTGGAAACGTATATATTGTGTGCATTTTAACTTTAAACTTGTTGGGGTAAATATTCAGCAGCCTTACTAGAACAGAGTCTTACTCATAATGTAGCAGTGGAAGGGGGCTTCCAGTTTGTTCTTGTTCTTTCATTTTGTTTTATTGTTCACTTAAAACATTCTGGATCAGGTTTGACACCTTGTTTTGATATCACTGACAATTTAGTACAGTTTTCTGTTGTTGGCATGATTTTCCCCTTAATGTTATGCAGTAGGTCCAATAAGTCTGCTGAAAAATACACATTCAAAGTAATTGGCAGTTTTTTTACTACAGTACTTTAGGATGCCTTGTTTGCATTGTGGATTGTGAATAAAATATATATCTGCATACATACATGAATACATTGTAAGATCAAGATAAAAAGCATAGTTTTGTGCAACTAGAAAAGTCTATTTTAACTAGTGCACACCCATCTTTTGAATTTTAGCCATAATGGTACCCTTTAATGTACTTAAATTTGATGGGTACCTAAAGGCTGTATTCCTGGCAATGTCCACATATATTTGATATATTCTGATTAAGTAACATTTAAGTTCATTTTAAGTTAAGGGTAAAAATGGTGACTGGTGTGTTTTTCAGAAAGAATGGGTTGCTTACTTGTATGTGTAGTTCTTGCAGTGGTCATTTGTGCATTCATGCATACAGGGGGGAAGGGCTCTGGAGCTCTGCGCAGCCTTGCTTCAGAAGCTTTAATGGTTGTGGAATATTGTGGAATCCACCCCTGTTGTCCCTGTGTACGTTTCCTTAACAGTTTCCCTCAACAATTCTGAGACAAACAGGGAAATAAAGGTTCAGTCCTAACATAAACACAACAATCAGTACCTTAAGTAACCTCAGTACAACATTGAAAAACAATATAGATATCAAAGTGAGGATGGTGGGCATGTTGTGTGAAAGCACAGATAACCACTTGAAGAACTGCAGTTACAGGTGAACATTTTCCTTCATGATTTCTGTGCATTACACTTTTGGACAAGGAGCAAATTAACTTACAAGAGGAGAATTGGTGTCATTACTGTAGTATAGATGAGAGGGTCATGGAAAGAGCAGTCAAGTTAAGCCTGAAGATTCAGCTGATAGCGCTGGATAAAGGTTGATGGTTTCAGCCAGGTAACATAATGGCATAAATGCAGTCAAGTTACTCCATGTACAAATGCAATCAATGTACCTTCACCTGGTTAGTGAATTCAGGGCTAACAAACTCTTATGCCAGTGTAAGGGTAGGCACCATCCAGGATGCAAAAACACTTGAAAAACTCTGGCTGTTTCTTCTGCTGCTGCTTGCAGCAAAGACTGGTGAAAAGGCTGTGTCCATAACCTATAAAATGCCAAAGAACTATGCCAAGTATTTCAAGTCCAGTGAAGAAGAAGTAGACTGAAAGAAAGTGGGTAGGTTAACATCTTTGTTCAAATGGAAATCAGAAACTACTTTTGGGGAAAAAGATCCAGGCTACAAACATTGTTATATTTGTGAAACGCCAAATAAAGAAGATCAGTTCTCAAGGCACATAAGCTATTAGATCAATGACGAGATGTGATAGCCACAAGGAATGCTACCTTCCAAGATAGCAGACAGAGATTGGCTGTTGCAAGTGACCTAGAGGACCACTGACAAGCTCCACGGGAAACCAAGACTGAATTGGTGGAGCCAAGTTATGGCTTAACGTGTCTACAAAAACATTTTCCATATTGGTGATGTGTATCACAGTGTGAATGACCAGTTGAAAGTTCTGACAGTTCTGTAAGCTTGGTTGATCTCATCCTGCCTTGTTTGTTCTGTTAGCAAAGTACTTTTGTGATGTCCATTACAATCTGAGTATGCTGGCCCCTGAGAGACATTTTGAATGTCTTACTTTTGAACTAGTAAGAACTTTAGATAGTTGATGTGGAAAACCAAATTTCTTGTACCGTGTGTCCCCCACCCAAGGAGAAATGTGTTGGTTGACAACACTTTTGAAGGATCAAATTGATGGGTGATATCAACCACTGAAGTGAGATTTTTAGTTTGGAAGACAAAGGGAGGTGGTTTGTTTGGCGTTGTCTTTGGAACTGAATACTTGGGGGAACTAATTTTGAAGGTTCTTGAGTGTGGCAAAAGTGACAACCAGTATTGTGGCTGCCACAAGGCCTAAAAGCTTTTGAATCTTTGACACATTAACAAGATGGTAAGAGTAATGTCTCATCACTAAGGTAAGTAATATCTGGGCCTGGTCTTGGGGAAAGAAGGCTCAACCAGTTCTAGAGCCCAACACTATACCAATATATTGGATGTACTATATGGGCATCAAAGTTGTCTTCCCCTTGTTAAATAAAGGTGTGGAGCTTGAAGAGGTTCAAGGGTCATGGAGAATGCTTGACAGCTTGCTTCTCATGGCAAAACCCACCAACTGATCATCTAGATAGGTGTGTATTTGTACTGTCTGTATAAGAAGATAGGCATACACCACCATACATTTTGTGAATATTCTTGGGGCTGAGCCAGTCAAAGAGGTAGAACACAGAACTGGCATGCTTTGGATCCAGTACTGCCTGTCCTTGTGCTAGCTGTCTCTTGATGTGAACCAGTCCCCTTTGTAAAGAAAGGGCATGATGGATGTCAACATCTCAAGCTTCTTTGGGGTAATGCAGAAGCTGACATCCCACAGATCCAGTATTGGCCATAGTCCTCCACCCCTTTTCTGCACCATGAGGTACAACCCCTCCTAAAGTTGATGGGATGGTATGCTTTCAACTGCTTTCTTTAGAAGAGAGTCTGTCCCCAGCTGCAGAGTTATCGATGGGGTTGTGATGTGGAACCTGGAAAAAGGCAGGAGGGTATCAAACTCAATCCTGCATCCTCTGGATAATGACAGTGACCCAGTTATCTGATACTATCAAGCTCTAGAAGGAAGAGAAGTGCTATCAGTGTGTTCTGAAACAGGATGACGGACAAAAAAGCAGAGGGGTGAAAGACACCATTTGCTACCAGTTTCATCCTTCCTGCAAGAATTGTGGCAGCTGGCCAAAGGATCCTGGCATTCTGGCTGCCTGCTGCCGAGAGGAACAACATCCTGTTGACAAGGCTAAAAAGATTGATGGGACCAATGTGATTGTTTATATGAGACTGGTAGGGTTAGTTGATCTTGCTCCATTTTCTTTGACTTAATGTTACCTTTTGGACAGAGTTCAGTTGCATTGTCTGGTTTTGCTCTGAAAAGCCCCTCCCTATCAAAGGGTAAGACCTTGATACAGGAACAGGTTTCTTACAGAAGATGAGCCAATATTAACCATTTATGTTAAAGAAGGACCTAAATGTGTTTTGTGATTGCAAAGAAATTGAATTAGAGCAGATAGAAGAAATAAGAGAAGATAAGCCAATGTGGCATACTTGTTAGAAAGTTGGACTGGGACTTCCAAGGTCTGGCTCCTAATCTGCTCTTGGCCATGAAGTTCACTGGCTGTCTTTGGGCCATTCACTTGAGTCTCACTGAGTCTACCTCACAGGGTTGCTAAAAAGATAAAATGGAGAGGAGGAGGATTATATAAACTGCTTTGGGTTCCTTGAAGGGGGGAAAGGTGGGTTATAAATATAAAGAATAAGAGAAGAATAAAAGAAACCTCAGTAGAACACTGGTTTTAGTAGTTTAAAAATGACCGAAGCTCCTCGCAAGGCAACCACAGGGAGGGTCAAAGAGGAACTGAAGAAATAGGCAGGAACTTGCCAAGGATATGCATACTAGGACACTGGGCTTCTTCCAAAAATTCTGCAGTTTTGGAAGCTTCCTGAAATGAAGCTCTGTGCAGGCACAGGGCCCTACATCCCCTTCCCCAATATGCAATGCATAAAAACCACAAAGAATCCAGAGTTCCCTGGCCATCTTCTCTGTATTTATTCTTAAAATACATATGAGAAATGTATTAATAGCTTTGCTCTCCGTGCAGGATGGTTGTATTTTCCCCTTGATATTTTTCTCAGAAGCTTTGAAGCCAAACTGTTTCTTGCACTGATTGAGCTACTATGCTTAAAAAAGGCAGAATTCTACTTTATTGTTTAAGCAAACTTGGAAGGTCTTTGGCCTTATAGTTCTTGAATAGATGCCTGAGGGGTTTGAGCAACTGTTAAGAGCACTTTCTTAACTTACATGCCTTTGTAGCCATGTGATATCACTGAAAATAAATCTGAATAGAATTCTCAATTAAAATACTGAAATGCTAGTATCTATCTTTTTAAAGCATGTGGAAGGTGAAAATGTGCAAAGCTCTGCCTTGGTAATTTAAGGCATGTGAAGCTGGGCAACCTACTGAGATACAAAAGATACAGCAGCTCATGTAAAAACATGAAGGGCTTTTTAAAAATTTTTTAGCTTTTCCTAATTGGAAATTCTGTAGAACAAATGTGTTCTGGAAGTTTAAAGTAATGCTTGCCAGAAAGTCCCCCAAACTATACTGTGTTAAAACAGTAATAGTTGTTTTACTGACATAAATAAATGTAATTGAAATTTTAAAATTGAACCTTCTTGTACTACTTTTTATGTATTGGATGTAAGATTTATAAGAATATATATGGAGTGATATAGAAAAGACAAAGAACAACCTTTAGAGTGTAAATTAGAGTGTAATATTGATTAAATGAGTAACCTACTGAGATGATAATGAATTAAAACAATTTCTAGACCAAACTTTCTTATTACTTTCCAACAGTGAGCCAGTCCGTGAACAAATTATGACAGCCAATATTTGTGTGCTCAGAAATATGAAATGCCATAGACATTCCAAA